ACCAGGGCCCGGCTCCGCGGGGCCCACGCGAGGACCAGAGGCTGGGCCGGCGCACGCAACCGCCTCACGGGTTAGTCGGGGTCCGGCAGCCGTGCTTTCCGGGTAGGAAAAAAAAAATGCCACCGCCAACGATGCCGTGACCTCTGACCCCTGGCGTCCGACGGCAGCGCGACCGGGACAAGATTCCTCCGCTGCGGGCGGCGGAGACCGCGCCTCCTGATTGGGTCATGTGAGCTGGACTGGAGCGTGCATGCGTGGGCTATGCGCATGCACGCGTGGAGTGTGTGACGTACGTTTGTTTGTGTGTCTTGTTACTGTGCTATAGTGCGTGTGTGGTGCACGGACGTGGCTCTTTTTATGGGTCTGTGCACGTGTTTAGTGTGTTGCGCGTGATGGGTGGGAGTATGGGGCTGTGTGTCTGTGCTCGTGTAGGAATCACTGCTGATGAAAGTATAATTGGGTGCTGTCACTTTGTAGAATAATTTGAAGTGGAACATATACATCCTCCCTGAAGAATATATTACCCTGGAGAAGCACTTCTACGTCTGAACAAGTAAACCTAATGTTTATAGCACCATTTATTTATAATCACGAAGAATTAATTGAGGGGGCACATGCCCATACAGTACAATGTAAAAATAGATTTTGGTATATTCATATGTAATCAAATACAAAGAGCAGTGAAAATTATTGAAAACAGCTGACACAACAGCGGGGCTCAACCTCAGGATGTAATATGCTAGGGAAGCAAATCACAAAAAGATATATTGCAGCATAATCCCATCACACAAAATTCCAAAACATGCTAGTCTAATACTCTTGGAGATACATACATAAGTGGTAGGGCTCTGACAAAAAAAAAAAAAAAAGCATGAGAAAAAAGAGGCACAAAGTTCATGTCACAGCTTAGGGTTAATATGCATTTAAAGGAAGAACATTTGGTCCTGGCAAGTAGCTCAGTTGGTTGGAGCATTGTCCTGATGGAACCGGACAGGGCACATTCAAGAATCAACCAATGAATGTGTAAATGAGTGGAACAACAAATTGATTTCCTCTCTCTCTCTCTCTCTCTGTCTCTCTCTCTGTCTCTGTCTCTCTCTCTCTTTCTTTTACATTTTTTATTTATTGATTAGAGAGAGAGAGAGAGAGAGAGAGAGAGAGAGAGAGAGAGAGAGAAAATCTTTGTTTTTACACACTCATCTACACATT